CCCCAAGATGGACCTTATTCGCCAACGTAATACCCATGAGAGCTTCCGGGGGATACTTCCCTCAACTGCAACCCAAACAATGGCCTTAGGAGATACCCCGACCATTAGCCGCATCAACAGGTTAGTTCATCCAGATGTAGCTGTGGGATCACATTCGAGTCCCCTAGGTTAAAAGCCATGGCATCCCCAATACTAGTTACTGTTATAATGTTAATACATGTAAGCCTAATACTTCGCAAGCATTTACTTCAACGGTTGCCGTCATACTCATGCTAATATGAAACTGCACAAAACGAATTCGACTAAGAACCACGATCCTTGCTGTCTTCGCTCTGGCGTTCCCCAAATGATAGCGATTAGATTTTTAGGGATGATACCAGTTTGTTTGTTTACCTCAACATATTGTATATGGCACCCACTTTCTAACTATAGTGTATGATTATGCTAGACTTGCTGACGGACTTGCCCATATGCGTGTATGTAGATATGTCTATGTATATACACATGCTATGCCTAATGTTAATCCTGTACTAGATACACACCCATATTCTGACCCCGATGTTTTTGTTATTTAATTTACAACCTCAGTCAGCTAGAAGGCATCGTAGCGGTCGAACAATGTCCTGGTGTTTACCCAGTATATTGTAGAGCGTTAATGTTGAGCGGAATCGGATCCCCATAGCAATGACACTGGAACCTTATTGGCAACATTAATTCGTAACGTGCGGAAACAAATCAAATGCGCACTCCTTGGATAACCTTGGTTTTGGAGTGACATACCAACTTTTCCTAGGAAAAAGATGGTTTTTGGCCGACCACACAATTTTTCTTTTTCCTAGGGAAGACAAAAAAGCATCTTTTGTTGGGAAGCCTATGCAGCCAGACTCCACAAACATGTTTTTTTGTTTTCCCTAGGGAAAAGTTCGTGTTCCTGCCCAAAACCATCTTTGTCCTAGGAAAAAGCTGGCACTGTATTGCCGACGAAAGCCATCTTTTCCCTAGGAAAAAACTTGTTTTACAACCCAAAACCATCTCTTCTCCGTAGGAGAAAGTTGGTTTTCCCACCGAAGACAAACTTTTTCCTAGGGAAAACAAAAAAGTCGTTTTGGGGGCTGGGCGTGTATGTTCCCAACATTTTTTTTTATATATGGTCTTCTCTGGGCAAAAGTTGGGTTTCCTGCTCACAAGCTTATTTTCCCGAGGAGGAGCTTGTTCTTCAATCCAAAACCATCTTTTTCCTCGGAGAGAGTTGGTTTTTCCACCGAAAACTAATTTTCCTATGGAAAATCAAGAAAAAAAACATCTTTTTGGAGTCTGGCCGTATAGTTTCCCAAAAGAGTGTGTTTTTCATTTGTTGCGGTTTTTCTAGGAAAAAGTTAGTCTTTGATTGGAAGAGAACAGTGTTGCCGTTGCGTGCGTGCTCACGTCGATCCTGAACGAGTTGAGTGGTGTTTGGTTTTTGCTTGGAAGAGTACAGTGTTGCCGTTGAGTGCGTGTTCACGTCGAAGCTGAACGAGCTGTCCAGCATGTCTTGAAATGTAGTTCATCGGGGGGTTACCATATATGTATATATGCTTACTTATCTAAGTACTTATTTTTCTTCATGCATGTGTGGGTTCGTGTGTACGTACTATGTGTACATGCAGATCAGGTGTTAAGTCCTCCGTGTCCTGGACACCTTCCCCATGCCCCTTGTGTCCAGTCAGTCTCCCAGCTGACATTCTTGGCTGGATGGCGTGTCTCGCATCCCTCTGTCACGCGTCCCCTCCGTCTTCAACCTCTCCGCAAGTACTGCCACACATCTGATAACACAGAGCCTTTGTCACCTGCATCCTCGCGTCCAGCTTGCCCCTCAGGCAGCCTATACAGGCTTGATTCCGGCAGCTTTTGATGGCTCAGTGCCTTTTTCACCCCAGACAACACTTGACGCAACCTAACCCCACATGCAGGAGCCAGGCTTCGGGCTTGTGCGGCGAGTAGTAGTGTGCCCCCAACCCCAATTGCAAGCACGGTCCATCTTGAAGCCACAACTGGCCAACAGTTCGACAGGCCCTGCCAAAGTCACCCAAGAGTCAGTGCACCATACCCAAAAACACAATGCAGCTCTAGTTTTACAAGCTCTTGTCATTGCCGAGCTGAGCAATGAGACATGATGGGAGGCACGGTTGCTGCAGCGGGTAGCGCACTGGAGATGCCTCGCTACGAATTACACACGTGCAAGTGCATCTACGGTATGCAGGTTAAACGTGTCGATGCTTGAATTTCGCTCCCTTCAGCAGGTTGCAATGGCCCCATCCATGCAGAACGTAGAACACCCCCGGCTAGGGCAATGGTGGTGACGACGAGTTCTAGTGGTAGACTTGCAAGGGATCAGGGAAGCCAAGATTCCATGGTAGTGCTACATAATGCTACATACCATCCTGGCATTAGCGACTTGACTTCGAACTTACCGGTTTTACAGCGATCTGTATTTTTTTGGCACCTGGGAGGTGTAGATCTGCAGTGCAATACCTGTGGACATAGCTGGCTTGTCCTCAGTAGCAAGAACGCCAGCTTCCTTTCCAGGCCCCAGTGAGTGACACCAAAAAGCTCCGTACAAGTTCGGCCGAGCCTTGAAGCCAGGCCTATGCTCCATGGCAAAGTTTCAAGGCTTGGCCCTCTGTGAGAGGAATGTTGGTCTACGAACTCATCAGTATCGTTCTGCCTTGATGTTACATACTCGCAACTTGCCAGGACGGCTCGGTTCAGGCTTACTTCCTGCTCCTCGGCCTGGTATTCTCAAGACTCTCCATGCCTTCCAGCCCTTGTTTGCAAGAGGGGCGTGGACAGGACTTGTGAGAGGTAGTAGTTACCTTGATGGCCTTGACCCAGAACACGAAGCACGAGTGTGGTGTAATTACGAAGGGCGAAGGGGTTCAGGCACCCACAAATGAGGGCACCTCGGCTGTGAATGCAAGGTTGCCGCGTCCTACGCTTGCGCACCGCCATTCTTCTCTCGGGTGCCTCGGACATAGAGCGAATTCAAGGTATGTCCAGACCGAGCCGGCTTGAGCGCAACAGAACATCCCAAACTTGGTACCGATTCACGGGAGCACTTCAGGTGCTCTTCCTGCACTGGCGTCATGCCCTCCATCTGAGTGGGTCCGGCATCCCAGATCTGGCTATCTTCAGACCATAGGCACGAGAGACTCATCAGTTTTGCTGGTTTGGACAGCTATGGAAACGTCTCAGACCTTGTGACGCCGTACTCTTTCCCTCCCCTACTCTTGCTTCGGGACGCATACTGTGGTGTCACGCTTGCGGCTACTGTTTCGTGCGATCAAACGAGTGCCCGCGTTGGTGAAAATCAACGTGCTCGCAAACAGACGATTGCATATAGCCGCTGATGTAGTAGTTAACACCGTTTCAATGGCTGAACCATGAGATTCCACAGTTGTGTTCGTGTAATCGTACAAGCGTATGTGTGTGTTTCTGTTTTAGTATGTTTGTGCAGACGCATGTATGTGACATGTATGGACACATGTAAGCGTTTGTTTGCTTTAAGATATGTGTGTATGCATGTTTCTACATGTGGATGTGGATCGAAACATTCGTTCAGTGTGTTCTCAGTGCTTGGTTCCACGACAGGCACCCCACTGAAGAGTAGTACAGGTATCGCGAGATGGATGAGCCCCAACCCAGTTTCCACATGGCACTGTGTGAGTTCTTCAGCAATGAATCAAGCAGCCAGCGAAGAAGATGTGTGGACGTGTTTGCTGAGTCCAGTCCACATACAAGCTGTTTGCATATCTTTCCGAAGAAGACCCAACGCCTTGTGCCGGTGTCTGTCGGTGACTCATGCATCAAGCAGAAGATGCATAGCCACGCTCGCGGGTTGGGCATGCCTGCAGGAGCATACGCAGATGTTCATACATGCTACCTTCTCATGTTACCTTATTTTAGGGGTCAATCTCCAGTACGCAAGATACTACAGAGCAGCGTGCTGTAGCGTGTTTTCGTGGAAGGTGGATCCAGATACACCGGCTGAGGCCTGGATTTGCCTCCTTTCGGAAATCACGTGCGGGCATGCAGCAAGACAAACCTCTGTTACAGCTCGGACAGGCCTGCAGCGGACAGGTCGACTCAGCGGGACGACCGCAGCTTGGCCCAGCATGCAGAAGGAACAACTGTGAGGTTTCGTTTCAGGCCATCTTTGGTTGTTGAGTTCAGAAAGCTGCCCATACACTCAGGTGTAAGATCGTCAGTGATCTCTTCTTGCGCAGATGGTGCATGAATTTTGGCATTGCCTGCATGACTCATGACCATATCAGCGTTTGACCCGGGTGTGAGAGCCTTGCTCAGCCTGCGGCTTGAACGATTTGAGGGTGACTCCCCGACTTGATGCATCGAGAGGTTTGAAAGCAAGCGACCCTGGCCTGGCCTGAGGTTAACTCTAGTGTTCTCGGACGAGTTCAACATTCCAGGATGGGTCTGCTGCTGTTGAATCCACCACGCATAGCCAAGTCACTATGGATTTGCACATGCGCCGAGCAAGACCAGACAGAAGCGAGCACCATTCCGAATGTAGTCTCATCGCATTCTCATCTACTTTCACTTGTGTTTGTTTGCGTCAGGTCGCACTTTTGCTGATGGCCATGATCCTGCATGGACGGCCATCACAGGCTCTGTATCACGTGCATTCCACCTTACTTTCTCTTGCAAGCTACAACTCGTACATGGAAGCACTGATGTCGGAACGACCTACTACTATATAGCATTTCGTGAGCAGCACGGCTTATCGGTTTTCCTGGCTAATGTATCGCGAGGTTTTCCATCTTCAAACGACCAGGACGGTTTATTGCTGGCAGGGTTGACGTGCCGCGGGTTCTGCATGCAGGATGGGAGGCAGGGTTTCTTCGAGCCGATTGTGAGGAGAATGCCTACGATGATTCGCCATCGCATGTCACCACTAGCAACGGAAACTTGTGGCAGGGCCCTGAGGAGTAGAGCCCGTCAGAACAGCAGGCGAGCCGTCACCGAATGTCCGCCTGCCTGCTTTAGCATGGGCCACGGCATGTCATGTTTGGCACACTCAGCTGCCGAGGCTGCGAATCTCCAGAACGGAAAGTTTTCTCGAAGTCGTTAATGGCACAACCGGGCGAAAGGAGACGAAGTCGGACCCTCGGCAAGTGCCGGCCGGGTCGACTCAGATGTATCGAGCAGAGCTTGTTTGGTTCGAGCATCCTGCACAACGAGGTGCAAGGAAAACTAAAGTATTTTTGGGCCCTTGATTGGGCGAAACTTAAAGCGTTTGTCTGAGGCATCGTCCCTATACGTCCGCGATGCTCCAAAGTTGGAACAAGTTCTGCTTCACCGGAGGCGTTGCCAGCAAGCTCAGCTTCTTTGCAGTGAGTGCGAACGCAGTACCATCTCGACCTGACGAGCATAGCTGCGCGCATGAAGACATGTGGCAAGAGCCTAACGTTTCGAGCACCTACCACAGGAAGGTTTTGAAAAGAGAGCATCTGAACACGTTTCGGCAATGCCACAACGTTTTAGGTCGAGATCTCCGCAAAGTTTCCGGGTGAAGCTGTCGAGCGCCCAGAGTCCTCCCGGGAACGTCGCTTCGCTTTGCGCCTCTCCAAATTTTGTTCTGAGGAGCTGCCGGGCCTATGGCCTGCATTTTGGCTGTTGGGAAACCTGGGGCACGGGCCTCATGCTGCGACCTGCCTTCTTTCGTGGATTGCATGTACCGCGAAGCCTAGGAGACTAGAACGGGGACAACAGAGACTCGAGCAGAAAGGCCACCATTTCGCATCGCAAGATCGGCCCTTCGGGGTCACACAACAAATCACAAAATCCGCTTCCGGGGCTGCATTGACACGAAGCCGGACATTGGGCAAACGTGCGCATCACCCGATCCAACCGATCCGGCTCGCAAACGTAGTTCGAAGTGGCCGAAAATGCGAGACTGTGAGTGGAGACATGAGTCATCGCTCGAGTAGTTTTGAGCGCAGAGTGGGGCAAGCTACGGGAGATTAGATGCAAAAAAACGTCTTGCACATCGGAGAGATGACTTAGTTCAAGGCTGTGAGCTTGCACAAGAGGATTGAGGAACTTGGCAACTTAATCAATTAAATCTTTAAAGCCGAATGACACAGCTGCCGGATTCAAGACGAGGGAGCCCCGTGGGGACAAGCAGCCTGGACCGAAGCAGACTCCAGCACACCAAGAGTTGCTAGACTGCTAGACCCTACCAAGCCGAATGGTCAGCAATGTCAATCGAAGTCCCAGACACAACCTCGAATGGGGACCGACTTCACTGCACGAAGGAGAGCCACAGTCGAGGCGTCTGTCAACAACGCAGGGGGCCAATGCATTGGATGCAGTGTTCTTTTGTTCTGAGTCCACGCTTTTGTCCGCAGTGCTTTCAAGGTCTGGCCATACAGCTACTCTCAGTGCCCTGCTGGCCAGAACTCAGCAGCCAACCAGGAGCAGTGGCCAACGCAAAAGTAAGACTGGGGAAGGTTCTGAGGCATGATTCTACCCCTGCACTTTCAAGCTATGTTGATTCGACAAGTTGCGCCCCATGACCTTGGGTTGTGCTGCCGCCGAGTCGGCATCGAGTTGAAATCTCGGACTAGCCGAACTCAGATTTGGGCCTGGGGCCGTGCTCCCCCGCTGCAGTCACGATCGGTTGAGAAGAACCTCCTGATCTGATGTACACGGGTCTCAGTCATCAGGGGGGGCTCCTACACAGCATGAGGTGGACAATGCAGGCTGCTCTGACTGCACACCCACATCCGTACTTTGCTGATGTGGGGTATTCCCGATAAATTCTCGAGGGGGCTAGTGAGGAAAGATGCGGGCAGCAGGCAGAAGCGCTAGTTCCCTATGACCTTCTCTTCAGGTAGGGAAAAAGTAGGAATCCTTCAGCCAGCATCGAGAGGTCATAAGTTCAGTTGCTCTGATGACCAGGATTCGATGTGACGCAGTGCTTTCACACGGCCACTGCCATGGTGTTAAGACAACTGTATGCAGGTCTTGGACCGATGTTAAGCCTCGCCTCGCTTGACTGTGCCAGTGCTTTCCCGCAGGACCCCAAAAAGCAGCAGCTGATAAATGAGTGCACGAACCTCAGTTTAGCCGCTGCCCGCGATGTGCTCTGACTGCCCCAATGCAGCGTTGACACTGCTCCGCGTCATGCCACACCTGACTGGACGCAAAGGCCTTGGTTCAAATTGGACCGAGCGTTTTGGCCTTCGACCACACCATGGTCGGCTGTCCCAGCATGTTAGCAGATATGTCTCGTTTTGCTTGGGTGTGCGGAGGGAATTTGAGGGTTGGAATCACGGAGGTCGCGGCGCAATCGAGATCGACATCTTGGAGGTCCTCCCTGGCAAAGATGCCCCGAACTACAGAGAGGACAAGGCGAGAGATTTGTCCGGTGCAGCTTGATCGTGGGGAAGGGGAGGCACGTGATTTCGCTTAGCATCTTCTTGAACGTGTTCGACCATAAGCGCATGGACCGGGCCAATTACAAGTTTACAAGCAAGTGCTGTGCATGATGCTGTTTCTTTCTCGTGTACTACTTAGGCGAGCTAGGATGATCCGTTCGCTTGCTGGAATTGAGGCTGAACATCATGCAGGGCAGGTCAGTGCGCCTCAGCCAGGTCTTGACCGGGCATTGCGAGCCACTTGCGGACTACAGCAAGCTGGACATGCCCCGTCCACACTTGCCGGCATCCTATCTAGAGTCTAGAGCCATCCACGCCCTTGAGTTCATGTGCTTGTAGCGCAGCAACAAACATTCCACAGAGTCATATTGCCGTTCGCAGCTTCGCATTTCGTGCGACTCACAACTCGTTTGTTTCACAGACTTTTCGTTGGTCCGAGGCTGAACACGTTGCAGGCAGCACCTGGCATCCCCGTCGGTGCAGACCAGAGACCTCAAGAATACAACGGAACATGCGCCCGGCCCTCGGTACGTGTCCTCATTCCAGCATTATACATGCCACAAGCAGTTTCGCTTGCTAGTTGACGGCATTTTGACGATGCAAATACCCCAATGTCGGTGTCGATCACGGTTTTTTAGACTTCCGATGAACAGCGCGCTTTGAGTGAGGCTCTAGCAGGCCGTGGGTTCTTCGTCTGTCCTGAGTTTTCAGGTGCCGATCTGGGGCAAGCAGTGGTACTCGGAGTTGCGACAAGACAACCCTCAGGACCTCGGGCACGTTTCTCTAAAAGTCGGAGATGCTTTTGCATGGGCATTGTGAGCCAAGTTCAGCCATCTTGGAAGCCACGGTTGCATGCTACCCATGTCTTGGACAGAGGGTTTTCGATCCGCGGAATCTGGCAGGTTTATGGACCAGACACAACCATCAATTACCACAACTACGGCGCAGGGCTTGGCAAATAAAATGGAAGCGCGAGGCGTCTTGAAGCTACGTCGCATCTCTCGCGGTGCAAGATCGCAGCATGCCCTGCTTCGCCATGTGGACCGGTACCCGCTGCTGAAATCGAGGCAAGTTCGTTGCCAACGTCAACCCTTGGACAGACGCCAGGGCCGTGGATAGCGAAGTTTGGGATTCTCTTGTTCGAGTTCGCCGGCCACGCATGAGAGGGATGATGAGGGACGTGCATGCATTGCTTACGCACCGCATGCGCATGTCGTGTCCCAGGTGACGCTCCAAGTGGACTCAATGGGTGCCATGACGCATCTGACAAAGTCCGCCTTTGAGAAGCAGCATGCTCGGCACTGAGCATTGCATTTGAGACTGTGGGTCCCGGTCCAAGCCTGCACTGCCGTTGTTGATTGGATTCAACCATGTCCACATGGAATCGCCGTCACCCAACTGCTGTGTGCAGGTCTATCGCTTCGAGTGGAGCACCCAAGGAGACGGAGCGCTCACTTTCTGGATGGATGGAAAGCTGCTTTTCAGGCCGCGGGGCGTGCAAATGCACAGAGGATACAGGGGGTGACCTTCATTTTTCATCTCGACCGAGACAAGGGATGGAAGGGATGAGCTTGTTGGATAATTTCGCTTCCCTGTGACAGATTAGATGCCGCACTGCTAGCACGGCAGCTTGCTCGGGCCTGAGAGGCTGCTTTTGAGACTGCACTGTTCGGTCGGGGCTGCCATGGGCTGCCCAGACAGCCCACGCATCACCTACTGTATATCATGAAAACAGCTCCATCTCAATGATTCGCAGTCACTGCCTCGCTTGCCGAGGAAATAACTCGAGGCGACAAGCCGTTTGGTACAATGTTGGCGCGCCAACTTCTGCTTGAGTCTCTCGGTGCGAATAGAAGGAGCCAAGGCATGTACAAGCTCTCTTCACGCTCCAAACATTGCTTTCTGTGGCGACTCGGGTGAAGACTAGGCCTGTCTCGATGATCTTGAACATCGACGTGTCAAAGCAATGGGGGTGGGTCGTAGCCTCAGCTTCTTGCAGACATGGCCGGCAATAGCGCACTTAGATGGGCACTCTAGCACGTTTGCTCTGAGGACATCTTCGAGAAGAAATGTCCCAATGGATCTTGTGGCTGCTGCTGCTTGCCTGCAAGACCGGCTGGCAGTACAGTACTAGTTGCTTGATATTGCTTTTCAAAGCGATTCAACACGATCAGTTCTCTTCGTTGCATTCAGGGTCTATATAAGGGACTTCAAGCGGCTTCCAAGCCCTGTGTTTGCGAGCATTTGCGCCGGCGCAAACCCCAAGGATCAGTGAGGCTAGAATTTTACCCTCTGCGTCTCTGTGTGTATGCGTTGGTCGTCGGACGTCTGGAGGGAACAGGTTGGTTCATGTCGTCTTTTGTGTCGTACATGCCGCGGCCATGGTTCCTTGGTGCCATCCGAGGTTTGGATTGCAAGAACCCGAAGTGCATCGCTTGCATGCTGCAGAAGCTTGGCTGTCTGGATGCTGAGGCTGCCCCTTCCAGAAACGAATGCTCATGCGCAGGCATGCAGGCAAGCAGCAAATTGACATGGGCAACTGCTCCCGTGATGCAACTCCGGACTCCGGACCACCGTACTTGCAGCCAGAAGGTTCGTCGAGGCAAGCCGAGTAGGCATTTGCAGAAAGACCTGCCAAGGTCACTGGAGATGAACCGTTTCCACAGTGTGTAAACCGCTGCAAACCGTTGCCGTTCTTCAGCAATCCTTGTTGCGCAGTCGTTGGTTGACGAATTCCAAGACTCCGGGACCGCGATAACTTGGGCTCCAATCATTGCTGGCTGTTTTGGAACTGAGCTCACTTCAGACAGAAACGGCAGTAGGGACTCAGTTTATTGAAAGAGAACGGAACTTTAACGGCACCGAAACGTTCGCGACGGTAATACGCTCTAAGTTAGCTGGGCTCAACTCTGACAAGGAGGTAGTTATCATGATGCTGTGCCTTGAATGGCGGCATCGAGCAATGATGAATGAAGTTAATTTCTCAGGCAAGCTGGGCGGGACAAGTGCACTACTTTTCGACGTCCATCTTTGCACTGGCCTGGTGTCTCCACCCTGCGGAGGATGGAATACCTCAATTTGCATGAGCATGGAGGTACACAGAGATACCCAGAGCTGATGGTTGCTTTTCGCCATAAGGGAGGCTTTCATACACAACATATTGGCTCTTCGAGTGGTTCTTCATGGAGGCGTATGCAGGCAGATGTGGGCAGGCTGAAGTGACAGACGTAACTTCTGGCATGGCTGTGGGGAAACAGAAGCCAAGACATATTCAGTATCGGCTAAAGCTACATCACATCCTGGTAGCTGGTACTAAGGATGGGCCAGGAAGAGGAGTACATGTTTCTCTCGCAGATGTGCAGGACCGCACTGGGCTGCAAGATGCCCACCCATGTCGATAACGAGGCCTGCAAAAGCGAACCTCCAATCTCGAAACGTACTACAGCGGCCAACGTCGAAATTCGATCAGACCACTCAACTGGCTCTTGTCGGCATGTCATGTCTTCTCCCGCGAGGACACTGCCTGCCACCTACGAGGTGGATTACATCCGTGTTTTCCAGACTCAGGACCGAGTTACTGAAGCTTGCAGGTAGGCTGGCGACGGCAACCAGTGCGTTCACCAGAAATACCTTCAACAAGTTCGGCATTCAACGACTCGGATGGCACTTCGGCGCACCGCCGAACAGAACTCTGTTTGCAGGAGCAGCAAGCGAAGGATCATGAAGGTTGCTCTCCAGAGGCGTGGTGATGATGCCGTTTGTTCGATTTCGCATAAACAGCTTCAGGTTACCAAGCATGCTTTGCCTGTGCACATGGATGCGCCAACCAACTTAGTTTAATTGCCTCGAGGCTGCGCCTACGCAAGGGTGGGTTGACAGTCGCCCAGAAAAGTACACCGTGCCCAACTTCGATGCTCCGCTCGCGTCATGCACTCAGTAGTAGCCTCCCGCCAGCATTTTTGGGCAAACGGCAAATCATGGGGTTATGTGTTCCTGAGGCCAATCTACGCAGGTGGTGCAAGGTGTCAGACAGACGCAAACTGCGGGGCAATCTCAGGCGGACTCTTCAAGATGGGCCACTGCACATTTAATGAATTTCCGTTGTAGTTTTCCTACTGGCAGCTGCCATGACGCATCCACATGTTGCAACGACAGGATCCGGCACATGCTTGCGCGGTGTTTGCAACTGCTCGGAGGCTCGCAGTTGTCACTTTGTCTAGAGTACAAGACCAAAAACATCCCGGAACCGGACCAGATACCTGGGCAGACCTAGCGAGAAACGACGGGAGCATGCAGGTCGACCACACATGACTCATGGACAACTTGTTTCCCTCAGGGTTGGACTGGCCCAAGCTGCTTGGCACGCTTGGCGGGCACCGCAAAGACCTGCCGGCCACTGGCAACTTGGCATATCTTGGCACGATGCCACGACCTCCCAATAAGACGGCCTTCATGCCGAGATGCAAAACAATCCGCAGCAAAGCTCCCAGCATCCTTCAGCTGCCAAGGAGCTCGCATTAGTCGGTGGAGGTCCGTGTGACGTGAACTCCACGCTGGACCGATGCGGTCATGGCGGGGATCCGGGTTCAACCGATTGACACATTCTGCCCCGCAATAGCCGATAGCCACTGACACGCTGCTGTGCATGGGTCGTGCAGCCCCACCACATCATCAAATCCCATCATCAAATCAGCTCTTTCCTTGGAAGAGGCCACTGCGTGAAGATCAGCTACTCTTGGAAGCTGCCATGGCGCGCTCAGGGAAGGGAAGCTTGGATCAGGTTCTTCCATATGCCTCCTTGAGGCATGCATATAAAGGGGCGCAGGTTCAGTCATGGTAATTATGCTCTCGAGCTTGGCTGCTGATTGCCAGAGTTGATCAAAACTGCAGATGTGACTATTGCAGGCAGACGGTGGCACATCAGCACATGGAAAAGCCCGTCGGGACAGGAAACGGCCGTTGCAAATGTGACAACGGCTGGGCTGGGCTGCTGGACTGGAAATAATATCGGCATTCGTGATAGGCTGATATGTTCTTGTGGCCGGTTTCCTGCTTTCGGTTTGCGGTTCGATTCGAGCGTGCGCAGGGCGCACAGCAGCTTGTAAAACGTTGAAGAGGTCGATCTTGAGTCAGACAGTCCTTGCGTTCCTGAGGCCGTTCTGCTCACGCAGAACAGCCCGCAGCTGCCCAAGTCGTGTGCAGCAACACCGTACCAAGTGTGCATGCGAGTGCTGCGACATTCAGGCAAAGAAGAGTTGAAGTGGGAGCAGCAGTCGTTGCTTGACAGCAAGAGCGATCCTGTCGGAAATTTGCAAGATCTTGTAAACCCACTGCTCTGCAAGACACTGCTGCACCATTTGTCACAAGTCGTTCGATGTTAACTGACATATTCTTTATTGAAGCCTACGTACAGTGAGTGGCTCAAGATGTTTCCGGCTGTGCTCGGTTCGGTGGCACGTCTCCAAGCCGTTTGGGCAAGTAAATCAGGCGTTGGTTTTGCGGTTTGATGAAACATGCAATTCGTGATTCGCATCGCCAAGGTGCGTGCCACGTTCGACCATGTCGTCGCCAGATCTGGAAGAGTTCATCCGCAAGGTGTGCAACAGGCGACTGTCGCACCAGATGCAGGCCTCCTCTGAGGCACGGCTGTTAAAAGACAGGATGAGGGCAGAGCAGGCTGCTGAATCATCATGTTACCAAGATGCTAGGAACTGAGCGTGGGTCAGTGTGTGATTGCGGGTATAGAACAGGCCTTTAAGGTCAGTTGGGAACAGTTCGTTATCAATGTCAGCCGGGATTCAAAGCACCCCGACTGTTGAATGTGCTCGCTCTGTCACACGACAGCGGTATGTGCTGTGCAAGTGCGCAAACCGTTGTCTTTGCTTTACCTGTCTTTGCCTTGAAAAGTTTGATTTGCGAGGTTGTGGAAACCTGCAGGGAGATCGCATCGCGGCTGCAATCACAAATTGTAGCATATGGCTCATCCACACGCTGTGCGTTCACGTCTGCCTTCAGGATGTCGATGATTGCCCAAGGGCTTTCTCCATACGTTTTACTTAGACTCACACGGACTCCTTTCGGCGACTCATGCCCACGATACTGTAGCCGCCATGCAGTGTTCTTCATGCAAAAGCTTCCGATGCCCAGCTTTGGGAATACGGCGGCCGCTTTTCTCAGTGCGGCGCTTGGCCCAGAGCTTCGTGGCTTGCGAAGGCATCTTGTGGGCTTTCGCAAATCGCACTGTAAACCCAAGCTGCCCAAGCCATTGCTAGTGATGGAAGTCCATGTGCAGTCAACCTGTGAGAAACATGTTCACGGAGCTCGCAGCAAGATGCAATGCCGGGTTCGCTTGGAAGCCTTGCAGGCGGTCAAAGCCGAGACTGGACTTTGCTGCACGTCCTGCAGCAGCACATAGCCGAACCTTGAATTTTGTCGGCTGTGATTGTGATGTGCTGTACACTCACTTCCTTCATGAGATACTGGCTCTTGGTACAGGATCGAAGCTATAAGATTTTAGGAGACGATCGTCGAAAACGATGCTGGTCGAACCCATGGCTTGGCCGAATCATCGGAATAAGGCGGCTGGACGATCAAAACAGAGAAGTGTGCGCAGAGGACGACTCCCAGTCCCTTGTCACAGACATAACCTTTGGACGGTGCAGTGATGCTGCTCATCCGTAACAGGAGAGCATTCGACATATTGTACTATGATGTGTTATGGACACCCAGCAAGACAAGCTCCTGCAACAAGTCCTTTCGTGAGCAGCAGCTGGCTGATGGTGACTGTTGGTTCACATTCCTGTCGACATCCGCAGTGCTTGGCACCGAGGTTCGGTCTTTTGGCAATCATCGCAACTTGCCGTGTCATGAGTGCGTACTGTCAGTACCAATGAACGCGGCTGCAGCTTTTTGGGGATGATGTACGTACTCTACAACTTGAGCCTGAGCCTGCTCGACTCGACCCAGGCCGGCCTTGTCGTCTTGTTCATGGCCTTCCTCGGTTGCGTGAGGCAGTCTCACATCCAAGGCAGCCACTGCTACAGCACAATGAGCGGCCTTGTCAGAGATGCAACCCCGACTATACATCAAGGCCTGCATTGTGAGAGACCCCTCTGAAACAAAATCTGTAAACTGTAAGCCGGAGTTCTATAGCGGCATAGATTTACTTCTTGCTGTAGAGTGAATCCTCGGACCAAGTTTGTGACAACTGGACACTGTTGCAGTGTTTGTGGCGGCAGCTGCTTGCAGGGAGGCTGTGTGCCGGCCAGAAGCGGCGAAGGCAGGGGTTGAAATGACCGCTCGGGCTCACAGAAGGATGTGCGGGTGTGACACAAGTTGAACGATGCCGCCACGCCGGCTTGTGCCACGGGTTGCGCTTTGCTTTGAGACACGTGCCAGGGCTGCCAAGTTCAACCACAAGGAAGAGAATGAAGAGACAAGCGAGGACGAGCTCGATGAAATTGAAGCCCCTAGATCTGCAAAAACTTACTAAAAACTGTGCTGGTGCTGCGCCGTCGAATTCACCCACTAGCCTGCAGCACACCTCGCCACAACTTTCTACTCTCCTGAACGTCTCAGGTCAACGGGTATGGAGGCAGTGCCAGTGAGGATTCGAAGTAGACGGAGGCAGCGATGTGCGGGCTGAGGTGACGTGAAGCCCAAACAAGGAGGCAAGAACTTGTGGTTAGGGAAGGTGTGTTTGCATTGCGTTGCAACGCCTCCTCATCCGAGCCTAGCTTTAAGCAGAAGCAAAGCTTCTCAGCAATGGTTTTCTTAGCAAAGTTTCACGCCAAGCAGCCGTGCAGGCAAGATCAGCCACGAGACTCAGTTCAGGGACATGCCCTCGCTTTGTGAGACTGCCCCAGTGCAAGCAGCGTTTGCCTGCATAGCCTATGGCATTATGCGTTTAGGTGTGCGTGAAAAAGTCCCAACATGACGTCCGGCATTTTGCCTGTTCATTCGGGTTAAGCTTGATTCGGTTTCGTGCTTTCAAAGAACCGGCGTTTCAGGGCAGCCGCCGTCGTTACTTCTCAAGCCAGAAGTCACAGATCAGGGAAGGCTCGACATTCTGGCACCGGCAATTTGAGCTGGGAGGATCACTCTTGTGTCACGCCATCGCCTGGAAGCGGTGGAGGCTGCCAAGGTTCAGAGGTGGTGCTCTGCGCAAGATATCGAGCACCTTGGCCTTGTATCTGTTTCTTAAAATGTGAGAACATGCCCACCATCGATGTTGGAGCCTTCCGGTGTGGACAGAAGCGGAAGACGCTGATTCTTCGAAGTGGCCCGACGCCTACCTCAGGAAATCAGGGTACCTCCAGACTCCAGAGATCGATCCCTTTGGCCGTCCAGGTTTGCCGCATGTTTCTGTATACAGGCTGCTACCGCCCATCCTCAAGTCGGCCTACTCGTGCGTGCCCAGCGCCACATGTTCAAACAGGTGGCCCAGGGCATCTGCGAGCAGTGAGTTTGCGCCGGTAGTGCGCCATCGGGGCCCTTCGTCGCAACTCGAAGGGGTGAGGAATCGGTTTGACTCGTCCGTTGCTACTGTGGTGCCCCATGAGCGGCTCACCGACAATCGGGGTACTGGTATGACCTCGCAGAGTTCATGACCGATGGTCCCAATTATGTGGTGAAGGATGTTTGTTCGATAAAAACAGATCTCTTTGGTAGTAGACTCAGTAGACACAGAACAGGTGTAGCATGAAGATGCTATATGTTTATCGCTCTACAGGATCCCGTTCTAAGCGCCCGCCTCTTGCAGGAAGAGTAGAGAGTCACTAGGTCGCACGTCAGGGAAAGCCCCTGTGCGCGCAACGGCGGGTGCCAGGACTCGAGCCCCTCGGCGTGACTACCTTCATTTAGAATAATATCTTACGTATAATTTTCGACAAGCTTCTATCATTAGAATCTAAAGAATAGAATAGAATTCTAAAGGTGTAAGCATATAATCAGAAATTTTCGATATTCCAAAATCGAAATAGAGATTAAGGAGACTGCGTCGGAATATATGATTATAATGATTTTTGATTTATAATATCAGGATTTTATCATATATATATATATATATATTGAATTTAATTATAAATCGTCTATATCATATTATATATAAAAATTTATAATTCAATGATGATATTGATATCTATAAAATATAATATATATATATATATATTCATTCTTCAATAATAAAAAAGCTCTATAACTAAGATTCTTTAGATTTCTTGCATATATATGAATTCATATTAAATTCATTGATAGGATCTTTGTAGATACTTTATCTTCTATATATTTTTTTGATAGAATTAAATAATATTATGAAATATTCATGTTTAAGAATTAATATTCACTTCTTTAGTTAAATAATATAAATTATATGAAAAATATAATTTTAAAAAATATATCTATGTATTTTTATATATTGATATTATATTTA